ACATAAAAAATATATATATATATATATATATTTATGAATTTGTAAGTCTTGGAAGTATTTAATTTTGATTTTTTATTGGAGTTTTAGAAATCCGTCCTGTTATGTTTTTATTAGATGAAAATTAGTTTGAGTAAGATAGATTCTAGGAAAAATATATGATGTGTGGAAACGTATATTTGTAATCCCTAACAATTTTCTTAGAATATTATAAATTTATTTGGTATTAATTTATAAATTTATGATGTAAGCCCTGTTTTCTATCAACTATGATAAATAATTTTAAAAATGATATTTGTTATTTTTCATAAATTGTGAGAAAATTATGTGTACAAAATAATGTTAGATATGATGTTTGTAAAAAATTAAAGAAGGTTTATTATTTTAAAAAAATTATCAATCCTTGTTTTACAAATATAATCCAACAAAGATATTTAATTCAAAAAATAATACTTAAGAGTTGAATTTTGGATATCTGAATTTATATGATGTAATATATGTTATTTGAAGTATCCATAAAATGTTTTATGCATGTAATTTGCTATATGTAAACTTATAAAATTTGATTAAATTAATTACCTTTAGACTATTATTTGGAGCATGTGTTTATCATACCCTACATACAGACCTATAAATATTATTATGAATTGTTAAATTTTTGTTATTTAATTTCATTTAATTAATAAGTTTGAACCTTGACTAATTTGTTGTTAATTAAATTAGAGATTGGGACAAATGTGATCCTTAGACAATTTGTGTGCTGAAAACTCAAAAGTGTGTGAATGAGTAATGAAAAAAAATTGGATTTAGGATTTCATTAGATGCTTATATGTTAAAGTAACTAACGGAACTATGATATAAAACTAATAACTTTAGAGAAATTTAATGAAAAAATTGTTAGCTAAAGTTAAAGAAATTATAAGTTGAAAGAATTTGGGATTAGGACTTCAAAATTATTTTTTACGGGATAAATTACGCTTATGTTTTTATAAAAATTGAATATAATATTTTATTAATTAAGTTTACAAAAAGATACTAACTTAATCTAAGAAGAAATTGTGTGCATAGATTTACCTATTAAATATATAAATATATGTTATATGTTAATCGCACACATTACACTTGGAAAGAGTAATACAAAAGGGGGAAAAGAATAACAAAATTAAGGAAGTGTTAATTCTCTATCATTACCTCGTTGAATTACAAAACATAATATATAAGCTTGTAATTGCATTCTAAAGATTTCCTACATTTACAAGTTTGTAGTCACAAACAACACACGATTACACCTACACAATATTCATTGGCTTACACAATAATTATCCAAATAGGTTGGTTTTCTTAAACTATAATTGGGCTTTTCAATTACCTTTTGTTGATTAATATTATTGAATTGGGCTTCCTTTTGTATATTGTGTTGGTTGTCATAGTTATCAACTTCTCCCTCCCTTGCCAGAACAACCTAAACACATTCAAGAATCTGAAAAAGCTTATAGAAGTGCCTAAAAAGCTTGGTGTATTTCTTATCAGTCATAGATAGTTGCTTGTAAGATCAAAGTGTTGGGAGAAATTTCAACATGTAATTACCTTTTGTCAATAATAGCCTTCATAGATTCTTTTGCCTTGATGACTTTCTATTTTAGCAAAGCCAAAATCTCAATTCTCACTACAACATCTTTCACATTTAACAACATTTAAAAAAAGTTACCAAATTAAGAAAAATGTTACCAATCATAATTAGCAACACTTTTACAAATGTAGTATAAAGCTCATGTTGCTAAAAGGTTTTAGCAACATTTTAACATACCAATTGTAACATTTTATAAATATTACAAATTGACATCTTTTGTAACATTTTAGCATATCACTTGTAACATTTTATAAATGTTGCTAATTGACACCTTTTGCCACATTTATCAAATGTTACAAATTTATTTTAAACATCTAAATTATAATAACTTTGAATCCATTGTTTCCTTATTAACTTCAAATAATGAATTGAAAACTTACTATATTATAACACTTGAAAGCATGAAGTTATGCATTTAATGAATTAAAATAAATATAAACTTCTTATTTAAATCCTTTTTGTCCATCATGGTATCATTCAAAAGGCAACACTAATTTGTTCTTTGTCAAAGATAAAACCAAAATCATCAAAGTTATTACATTTTTCTGTGAATTCTCATTTTGAGTTATATAACTTCCATATCAAATAGTAAGATGTCTTCAATATACACAATCTAAATTGCCACAACCACCACCACCACCATATTCACTCTAAAACCTGCAACATAAACAAAATAAAGGTATAAAAAATTAAGAACAAGTATAAAAAAATGGCTATTAAATATTGTCCTAAACTCTTAACTCATTCCTTAGAAATTAGAATTGGTAAATAAAGTTAATATTCTGCATTTGCTATGACTTGTTCATAGAAAAATAAGGCTTAGACTTACCTCATTAGTCATGGACTTCCATGTTTTAACAGCCATTTTATTAACCTATATTTTTCAAAATAAATATTAATTGGTTTACAGCTAAATAAAAGTAAAAGTAATTATATCAATTTAATAACTTTCACTTACCCTTTCAACATTTTCTTAATCAAGATTTTCTTCATTGTAAAGGTTTTTAAATTTTTTCCTGTAATAAAACTTATTACTAAATAAAACAATAAAAAAAAATAGAAAAATACTTTAGAGAAAGAAGATTACGAGAAAAAGGGAAAAGACATATTGAGTAGACACTCAAGCATATTAAGATCTTTTTCAACGACAGTTTTTTAGCCTTTTCTTCATTTGATGTGTTGTATAAAAATAACAACATATGAACCCTAAACCCTAAACCCTAAACCCTAAACCATAAACCATAAACCATAAACCCTAAACCCTAAACCATAAACCCTAAACCCTAAACCCTAAACCCTAAACCCTAAACCATAATATATAAAAAAATCAGACAAAAAAAATATAAATAAAAAATTTAAAGACTTAAGCAAGTGAGGTGAATTCACCTTTTGACTAACTTCTCAACTTCAGCTAGATTTTCCACAATTTGAATGAATTTCTAAATTAAGCAAGATAAGAAAAAAGTAAAATAAATCAATTTTATATTTTGTGACTAAAGAATAAATAATTTACTTTGTAATCAAGGAGAAAATGAAGAACAATAACTGCAAGCCTTTAAATAAGTGAAATAAATGCATAAATAAAATAAAATTATAAAAGATAATTCATTGTTCAACTCATCTAATGAATAAGAAAAACATAAATCATATTTCACTAATTTTTTATCAGCAAATAAAGGTATATTAAAAGAGGTACAAGGATATCTTAACACATATATAGATAGTTTTATCAAATTACCGAGTGACCCTTGTTTACATTCTTTTATAATTTTCACAACCTAGGATAAAATGAACCTCCTGTCATCAAATGAACCTCCTGTCAAACTTGCTGCATACTACACCCAACAAAACATCATTAAAATAAACACAAGCTAGCTAGGAAGTTCATCTAGCTTAAACTAGGATACAAGGCATACTTCAGAAGGCACACACAATCGCTCAAGAAGCTTATCAAGCTCCTCAATGAGAGATTTGTTATTTACCGATTGCATTTCCAGGTTATTATTGCGGGTTTCTATCTGAACATAAGAAAAGTTGATGAGACAAAATAAAGTAAGAGATTGTTGTTTTAAGAACTCCTACATTTGAAATTATATCACCTAGTTAATCTAGAAAAGTAAACAAAATTGAAATCTCATACAACAGAAAGCAACCTCCATGGCACCACAAAAATGGTCACTTTGTAGAAATAGTTGTGACCATAACCCAGCTTTTTAAAGGTAAAATCCTTATTTAGATTAATATCATTTTAAACTCAAGGAAGCTATTTGGAATGAACAACTCGGAAGATATTTGGCATGAACTAACTGTCCCAAAAGTTTAAGCTACTAGATGAAGGAAAACACTTTATTAGAAGAATGGGATGACAAGGATAGAACACTAGAGCATTTGGTCTCAAGCGACCTTGATACCATGTCATGAATCAAACATCCCAAAAACATAAGCTATAAGGTGAAAGCACATAAATGACATTATAGTATATCTCCAATAATTTTAAAAGGGAAAAGAAACCTGTTTTAGATATGTATTATTTTTAGAGAAAATATGAAATCTTATGAAAGAGAAGACAGTAAGTATAATGGGAGGAGGATAAACTATACTCCGTGACTAATTAAGAGATAGGGCAGGGGAGGGCAAGAGAGAACATGAAGTTTAGTAGTACAATAAAGCTCTTCCATCCCTTTCTCCATCGAAACCCCTGATGGAGGCCATAGGACAAACCAAAGAGATTCCATATATACACTTGTATTTACATAACAGATCAAGAGGTAGCTAATATCTTTAAAGCACAATAATTTCTCATCCATCAATGTGGGACTAAACACATCTCTCGAGGTTGCAATTAAGGCAACTTGGAGAGGTTGCAATTGAGGCAAACCAAGGGTAACCACAACTTCCAACAAAAGGTCAGCTTGGAGAACAGAAATACCTCATCCATCAAAAGTTCACTTTCTAAAATAGAATGCACATTTGCTGCTTCTAGATCCTGGAGCTCTCTCTTCAACCTTTCAGAAAATTCCTCTGCTTCACCAATACTCATGACATAACATAACTGACGATCCAAAAAAGCAAAAAACCATTTATTTGTTCAAGACATAGTGAAGTAAGATATGATTAAGCAGAAGTGAATTATACATGTATCTAACCAACATAATTGTTTTCATTTGAGCTTTGAAAATATGTTACAATCATTATGTACAATACTTTCTAATAATTTATGCATTCCCTGTATCAATGTGTATCATAAAATGTGGCCAACAATGTTGAGGAGAGACTCTGTTTGACCCTATGATTTAAAGAACTCAATCCCGCAATTTACCAAAACATAGGTCATTACTTCAAGTACATTCCGACTCATCATAAATATATAACCTCAGCACCATTTCAAAGGAGGGAGAAGAAATGCCATCTAAAAAAAAAACACGTGGCAATAAACAAAAGCTAAAGAGGAATCTTTAACTACTCAGTGCATTTAATTTGTAAGGGGAGTGGGGGATCATGAGCTGAAACCCAAACCCAAACCCAAACATATCCCGAATAAATGAAAAAAAGACAAATTACTTCAAGAACTCCTCCAGTAGAATACTTCAAAACTCGAAGAAAATCCATTGTCTGCTGATCCTTCGATTTCGTTGCAGGAAACACCACTTCGTCACCAACAACTACATAAATGTAGAGTTTAAAAACCATTAAAACAGCAACACAAGCTGAAGAAACCACACGCAATCACTCTCACCTCAAGATCAATAGACGATCCAATCCAACTAGCTATAAAGCATGTATCACAAAAAAGCACACCAAACGAAGCAAGCATTACTGCATAAGCCACAACTAAACCTAACACGACATTCGAGCGGAAGCTTCAAAGTTTTGTAACAAAAAAAACAATGTTCACATCAGAGTAGTTAATTCAATTTCATCCAAAATACCTGTAGAGGCATCCAAACGCTAAATTATCGCGATTGTTGGACGTTGGCCTTCGAATTCGTCCAAACTTAAATGCGTGACTTCCTCGTTCTGAAATCGTCGAATCTGCCTCTCTTTATTGATGATATATCCAAGCTCAATCGAATTTAATTCGAGAAGAAGAATTTTGAAAAAAGTTTGAGAGAAAGAGAACCGTGAGTGCCCTAAGAATAAGAACAAGTTTTTTATTTTTATTCTTTTAAAAATAACAAAAATATATTTTTTAATTAAGGTGGCCACATGTGACATACAGGTATTTAAAGGTTTCGATAGTTTTAAAACGCCAAAAATGTAACTTTTTTCTAGCAGTTAAAATAAACCAAAATTATAATATTTTGTGGTTCGAGAAACCGTAAAAAAAAATCCCTACTACTTACCTACTTTTTGTAGTGTAAAGACTATAATTCAAATTAATTACCTACCTTTTTGTAGTGGAAAGAGTATGATTCAAATTACTTAGTAACATTTATTGTTAAAAATGTTAGAAAAATATATAGTTAAGAAAAATTAGTAACATTTTGTTACATGTTGGCACATAAATGTTGCTAAATGTGGTATATGTAGTAGTGTCTATATATAAAAAAGGGATTGGATCTAATGCTGCAATCAAGACCCACAAATACAAGTTGGAATTGATGGAGGAAGACAACTATAGACAACCTAAAAAGGGGTAAAGTTAGTGACAGAGTAAGATTAAAGGTTGTTACTCCATTTAGTCCAAAGGAAAAATGTTCCCCATGAAGAAGGAATAACACGAACCAAAAATTCTTAAATATTGCTTCAAATTAAGTGTGGTTGACCATCTTTGTTTGATTGCCTTGAGGATAGAAAAATGTTCATTTGCGATTAATTGAGTACCACTTAGATTGAAAAGTTCCCTCTAAAATTGACTCATAAAGATTTGATCACATTTGGAAACTATATGGAAAAAGGCATATCATGTATTTAACATATCATGTGGTTAAAACACTCAATTAACTACTAAGAAGATAAAACTGAAGACCAAAAACATTAAAAAGACAATCAATAACCAGTGGGATAACAATATGTCATTCATAGTTACATTTAATATCTTTAGTAATATTTATTTACTTTTGTTTATTAAAATGTTACTATAGAATAAGTTAATAGATTATTGCATGATTGTGGTATTGAGGCACAATATACATTACTTGGCACGCCTTAACAAAATGGGGTTATAGAAAGGTGAAATCGCACACTCATGCACATGGTAAGATGTATGCTTAGCCATCCAACTTATCCTTAGGGAGATGCCTTAAAAATAACTACATACATCTTAAACTATGTTCCTAGAGTAAATTTTTTGCTAAAACTCCTTATAAGTGATGTTGAGTAAAAGGACAAGCTTGAAGCATTTTCTTGTTTAGTGTTATAAAGCATAAGTGAGATCTTATAATCCACAACTAAAAAAGCTTAATCTCAAAACATTTAGTGGTTTCTTCATAGGGTATTGCATTTGCTTAAGAGAATCTCCATTTTATTATCTTACACACTACAAGAATGAGTGAATATGATAGAATAATATTCTTTGAGAATGAAATAGAGCACGATGAGAACTTTAGGCCACAAATCATTTAATTTATAGATGAAAGTGTTGTTATTTTTATACTTCTTGTTCCTTTGTTAGAGGCACATGTGCCTAATTTTTTCTCATAATGAAGTTATTGATCCTATCAATGACGTTGAAATCCCTCAACAACAAGTTGTTGATAATGAGCAAATTCAAGTTGAAGACTTGTTTTCACCTAGAAGGTTAGGAGGCTTCCTAAGCCCACCAAACTCACTAAATTTAGAGATTATTTGATTTATCTCCTAGAGCATAATTTTCTTCTACTAGAGACTATGATCCTAATTATTTTCAAGAGGCTATTTCTAGTTCTTTTAGTTCTAAGTAGTTGATGGCCATTGAGGATGAGTTAGATTTTATGGAAATGAATGGTGTTTGGAAGTTGGTGGAATTACTTGTAGGTTGTAAAACTATAGGATGTAAATGGGTCTTAAAGACTAAAAGAGATGCAAAAGGTAAAATAGAGAGATATAAAGCTAGACTCGTTGCTAGGGGATATAACTATAGAGAAGGCATTGAATGTAATGAGACTTTTTCTCCAAACTCTAATAAAAACTCATTTCATGTTGTGATGACTTTGGTGGCTCATTTTGATTTAGAGTTTCACCAAATGGATGTTAAAAAAACTTTCTTGAATGGTGATTTATATGAGGATGTGTACATGGATATTCAACCTAGTGGTTTTGAAATGGAAGGTAAAAGCACTTAGTGTGTAAATTTGAGAAAATCCATTTATTAGTTGAAGCTAGCTTCCAAGTAGTGGTACTTGAAATTTGATGAGATCATTTGTTCTCTTGGTTTTAAAGAAAATGCAGTTAGTTAGTGTATTTATATGAAGCATGGTGGGAGTAAGTTTGTCATTCTTGTCTTGTATGTCGATCATATCCTTTTGGCTTGTAATAATATGGATTTTCTACTTGAGATGAAGCAAATGTTGACATATAATTTTGATCTTGGTGATGCTTCCTTTGTTTTGGGGATTCAAATTCATCGTGATAGATCTCATGGTGTTCTTGCATTGTCTCAAAATAATTATGTTAAAAGGGTTTTGAGTAGGTTTAATATGAAATTGAGTAACCCTTATGTTGCGCCCATTTAAAAAGGGTGAGAGACTCTCCATTATCCAGTGTCCTCAAAATGATAAAGAAAAGATAGAAATGGAAAAAGTCTCATATGTTTATGTTTTAGGTAGTCTTATGTATGCCACAATTTGTATACATCCTAATATTGCCTTTGTAATAAGTATACTTGGGTGGTACATAAGTAAACTTGGTATGAGTCATTGACAGCTAAAGAATTTATAATGTATCTACAAGATACCAAAGAGCATTTGCTCACTTACAAGAAGTCTAATCACCTTGAGGTGATGGAATATTCTAATTATGGTGGTTGTCTAAATGACCATAAATCCACACCAGGATGTGTTTTATGTTGGTTGGAGGAGTTGTTTCATAGAGATGTTCCAAATAGACACTTACGTACAACTATCTCAACTATGAAAGCAGTTATGTGGTTTATTGCCACTCGTCAGACCTTAAGGTTGAGAAACTTTATTTTTGAGTTTCACCTTGTGGAGAGTATCTCTAGGCCTCCTTTAACTATATACTATGATAACTTTGTTTTCATATGCTTCTCTTAGAACAATAAGAGTTCTAAATATTTAAAACATTTTGACACCATGTATATGTTTGTTAGAGGGGAGGTTCAAGAGTTTCAAACTTGTATTAAGTATATACTTATAGAGCTTATGGAGACAGATCCTCTAACCAAAGGCTTATTTATTAAATGTTTTGTAGATCATGTAACCCATATGAGTATTGTGAGATCTTTTGATGCCTTAAGTTAGTGGGAGCCTTTATTATAAATTTATAGCAACACTATATCCATTTATTATGTCATAATACTTTTATGAATAAATTGTTGCTACTATTTTTTATATTATTTCCATATAATATTGTTGTTTTTATGCAATTTTATTGATTTATATTATGACTTATTTTTTTAGAGACATTTTGGGCATGGTCTCATTGTGTAATGATAAGATATTTTGTTGGAATTTATTGGGCATTTGGGCGGATGCTGATGTCATTTTTCTTTTATTGAATTACATGATTGATTACATTTTATTATGTCTTTCATATTTCATATCTTACATTGGGTCACTTTGGTAGAAATTTCTAGTGTATATGATGTCAATACTCCTATCGGGTACGATTTTCTAATCACCAAGACTTTTATCTCATTTTGGACTAGTTGCTGATATTTACTCAGTTTTGAAATCTTATTGTGGCCACATTTTGTGAAATAAATTTGGAGTATTGTTTTCTTATTATCAATATGTAACAATAACTTATATTGTCCAAGTGAGAGATTGTTAGATTATTTGGACAATTATAGTTAATATTGTTATTTTTCTTTAAAACTCATATTAATTAGATGTTAAAATATTAGAGTATGTTGTTATTATTAGTCCCAATTTTGTGATCATTATATTAATATTTATTGTGATTAATATTAACATTATTATTATTATTATAAATATTGATTGATAATGTGTTGATGTGATAGGTCTTGTGTAGAGTTACTATGATGGGTAAGTGAACCCATATTGATTTGATAGGGAGAGACCCTTATTTCTAACTACTATGTAGTGTAGTTGTTCGATTGAAACTTCATAGAGTAAAAAGCACATAGTGGAATAAAAATAGTTTCTCTCTCCTTTAGTCTCCCACATTCATCACAAGAACTGAATGGATCAAATGTCTTCTTTCTATCCAAGTATTTTTTACTTTATTATTTGTTGTTTTATACATGTTACAATTAGGGATTAAAATACATATGAATGTATGAATTTTTTTAATGTCAATGTAATTTTGTTTTCTACATTCCTTTACATAATAGATTATATATAACATCTCATGTTTGTTTGCATGCTACCTAAGAAGAACAAGAACAAAAAGATAGTCAATCTAATAACCAATGTATGAAAAACAAGAGAGAACAACCTGTAGAACAACAACAACATGAGAGTTCTATATTCCATGGGGTGGGAGAAACAACCAAAGATGGGGATTTATATGAAGAATGGATGGTTGTTAAGAGAAATAG